CAGCAGACTTCTGTGGAACTGAAGACAGACAGACAGAACTGTATCTCAATTTTTTAAGAATTGCCAGTTTAGGGGCAGAAATGGTGAAGTCCTTCACAGCTATTAAGTGAAACTGATGGTGTGGTAGTAGACATGAAGCTAGCTGGAACATTCATTTCACTTAAGAGCTGCAGCGTCTTGGGAGCTTCTAGTCTGCCAGCAATTTCAGTGCCTTCTGGTCTATGAAATAAAACATAAGCAAATTCCAAACTTCAAGAAACTTCATTCTTAAGCCAGCTCTAGTAGTTAGAAATAGTGATGACATTAAAATCAGAAAATACAGGATGTATCTAAACAGTTTAAATGAAATGTGGTTGAAAGGATTAAAATCTCAACCAAACAAAATCAATTTTGTGAATGGCTGAGTTACTTGATTTCATAAAAATAATTTCTAAGTGTCCAAAAAAATCAAATACCATCATGAAAACTACCTGTAAGTCTAGTCTGCAGTTTTTACAGTGTTTGTAATACAAATAATCTTAGAGAAAATAAACTTGTAGAAAGGAAGAGGAAGTCTCTGAAATGTCCCTGGCAAACATGATTTTTCTTGTTTCAATTTTACAGCAGATTTCAATTAACTCCAGCAGATTTCGAATAGGCTGTGCACACACAGAGAAAATTCACTCTGCATATACAAAATGCAGACACTCCAAAGAGCACATCATCCATCATTCAAGCACAAGAATTCCCACGTAAATTTAAACCTGGAAGTCTGCATCTCAGATCTGCATCTCAGCTCTCTGAAAATGTGACCCTCTGCATTCACTGCGTTTTGGGGCATTAGCAATGGATCAAAAAATAAGTTTTTTAACCACAGTTCATCACAGTTTAAAGGTTTTTCACTATAAATTTAGCTTCATGTGAAACATCCCAGGCTCTGTGATGTTACTTTGTTCAAAAGGCAAAATACATCCCAATTTTACCCATTCCTAACAGATCTGAACTTGACTAAATGGGACTAGTAACTTCAGCATGGCAACAGTTTTCCAAAAAGGAAGACTGCGCTCAGGGAACAATTCAGATATATGAGAGACAGGAATATGAGTTCTGGACATTTTGCTTCATATGGCACCATGCTGTAGCCAGGGGCCCAGGAATAGGGAGGCACTTATAGGAGTACAGCTCAGTGTAGCAAACTGTTAATGCCTGGTTGCCCTTCCTACGCGTAAAATCAGCAGTTTCCACGTACCTACATACACTTTGCTGATACCAAGAAGGACACACCTGTGCACTTTTCCACTGTAACATGTCACCCAGGAAAGCTCTGCCTGGACAACCTCCAGGCATAGATTCAAAGAAATAAAACCGTGAATATAACTTTCAAACAATTATTCCTCACAAGCTTTCAATGGCAGCTCATCAGAGATATATTAATATGAAATCTATTTACACACTGGATCATTCAGTAAGGTACAGGAACGCTTGCACATGGAGCACCTCCACATGTAAGACCCACATACTAAGCCTAGTTCTTTATAATACCCCTGTGACCACATTAAATTAGTAAGCAGCTGGTGCAAGAGCGTTTAAGCTTAAACATCAGTGACCATCCACCATTTCCTGGCAGGTTCCAGCCTAGGGGATTGAGCGCACTAAGTTACACAGCATGTTACACAGCATCTGATCTGGTCACCACTGACATCCTGCCGCCTTGGGCTGTGACATGGCTGGGCACACAGCCACCCCGGGGGAGAAGACCAGAGACGGCCCCCTGGACAAAGAAAACATTCGGTCTTGAAATCTCTCTTTTGTTAAATTCAACAGCAGTAAATTCATAGTGATGCCTCTCAGCATGTTTCACAGAGATATGATAGAAAGCTTAAAAAAAGCTGTTATTAATAAAATAATGAGAGTTTCCCTTCCATTTTTTTTTCTTTTTCTCCTCTTTCTTTTCTTTTTCTCCTCTTTCTTTTCCCTAGTTCTTGCAAAAGTCTCATAGGCCAGTGGTCTCCAAACGCTTTTGATCATGCACACCATCACTAAAAAAAATGTCGGAGCACACACTCCCAATGTATGTATATAAGCCATCTATTTATAAATTACATACATCTACTACTGAAGGTCTACTATTTTCTTCCAGCATCCCAATGGATTTCACTGCACAGCGCCCGTGATGCATGCACCCACTTTGGAGACCACTGCTACAGGTAAAGTGCAGTTCCAGGTGCACTACAGTGAACCTCTGAAGTTTTCTATGTAAGAAGGAAAGTCAAAAGAGGTATAGTGTACCAGTTCAAATATCCTGCAGTTCTTGCTCTCTGCACATTTTCTTTTAACACACACCATCTAAAAACCCACAGATGAGGACAAAGCATACCTCTGGACCCAAAATTCACTTTGTGACTTAAGTAATGCCTGTCATTAAAAAAGTTCAGTAATAATTCTACAGTGAATTCCCTCAGCCTAATAATTAGAGTAATAGTGAAGACAATATTAATTTTCCAGTGTCTCTCTCATCCTTTGTCTCTGACTGAATGCAAGCAAAATTCCCAAAGGAACAAAAGTACATTCATTTTTAACAGGGGGAAAAAAAAAAAATAGTACTAAAACCAGAGTATGGTAAGTGCAGTCAATGTGAGAATGTTGGATTTAACAGTATCTGTGGCTGCTATAGTTGTTAAACCATCTCTCTCATGTAGTCATTCAAGCTATTGCAGTTTTGGTATTGGGCATGAAGCTGGCTATGCGAGGAAGAGATTCCTTGTGGTTAAGCTATCATCAGGATTTCACTGGAAAACAAAAGGGTGTCAGAAAGTACTTAGCTATCCTAGAAAACCCCAAAACGTTCAGTGATCATGGGCACAGAAGATTTTTATTGATAAAATAAAAAATAAACTTTTCTGTTTCTTGAAGTCAAAACACCAAAAGGAGATGACAAATTTTTTTTTTTACAGATCTTTTTCTTACCTAATAATGACACACTGATTTTCTCTGTCAATAATCATGTTTCTGTACATGCCGTCTGCAAGAGCATAAATATGTGGTGGGTTTTCATATTGTGCCTAGGAGGGGAAATAGACAATAATTTTTCAACACAGCATTAGACAACACAGAAAGAGCAATATAAATTTTTATTTAAATTGGAAGAATTATTTTCCTGGAAAAACAATTCTGAATCCCACTTTATACTGAATTTTCCCTAGGAATTTTTTTGTTCATTTAATAAAAACAAACCAAAGTCTCTGGGTTTTGTTACCGATCTTTCTCTCATGCATAATTTTCTCCTAAACTATCGTAAACACCCTGTTCTAAAAATGCTCCGTACTTGAAGTATATTACTTGTCCAAGAGAAACTCACATAATTTAAGTCTATTCCACCAGTGGTCATATGCTAACAATAAACTACCTAAACTGCTACACAGAGCCTGGTGCTGTAGGTCTCATTTTCACCCACTGAGTCCATTCAAACCAAATGGCTTCCTGAATCTTTGGACATGCCCAACTCGAGCAGAGCAGGAAACTGAATTTTAAGTCCCTAACATCCTTGTGCTGACTCACTCTTCAAGCTATATTTTCAAAAGTGGCACCTAATTTTGGCATCTCAATTTTTTTATTGTTCTTGTCCAGTTTGAGGGCTCTCAAGTCATAGTCTTCAAATCCACCGATGGCCATTTTGTGTTGTGCACCACACTTTAGGCATACAATAGCTTAAAAACTGCCTTTGCAGGAGGAGGGACGTGTCAAGGAGAGAAACCCAATATTGATTAGAGTTAATCAATACAAGTATTTTTTTGAAATGCTAATCCTACGTTCTAGGGAATTCAATTTGAAGACTCCATATATGGTAATGGGTATCAGCCAAGTTCTCCCAGGCTAGTACAACGCTACCAAAACACAGAAAAAAAATGCTTCCAAGAGTTTAACCATGTACAATAATATTTACATGCCCCTGAATACTGCAGTACATTTTAGACTGCTTTACTTACTGCTCCTTGGTACATTTCAATTTCCTTTTCCCCAAAATATGGCATTTGCTTGAAAGGATTCACAGAGATTAATACGGAGCCAATATATGTCTGTATTCAAAAGAAGTTAAGGTAACTACAGTTTCATAAAGTATTATCTTACCGCTAGTGACTGCCAAATAACTTTTCTGTCTATTACATAATACAGCACAGCTTCAAATAAGAGTAAAAACCCCACAGCTTACAACAATTGTTAATAAAAATGAAATTAGCAGGCTTATAAGAATATAAACATATCATTCAATGGGATGCTTTTGTATTATCAAAATATTTATTTTAGGACAAGCTAAGTATAGAAACATGTATTAGAGGCCCAAACATGACACACCTTTAATAAAAATACAGAAAGGAAATGGCATATTTAAACTGGTTTACTCCTTTGTAACTGAGGAGGTCATATCGTCAGTATTAGAAAAGATTGTTTTGACCTTTGCAGAATATAGTATAGTCACACATTCTGATCCCACAGAGATAGTGCTGAGCGTGCACAGTCAGATGGAAACAGCCACTGCTGAGCTAAATTGGACAATTACTCAGCTGCATGTACTAGTGGGGGAGCTAAGGGAATTAGGTAATTCAGTGTGCGGTGTTATTTTATGAGTGCAACTATTAGCAGTCCCTAGGCGTCTTATCCTGCAGGCTGCCCTACAAGAAGACACTCTGTTTCAAGCTATTATTAGTCCTAGAAAGCTTTTTTGCAACATTTTGAATGTTCGTATTTCACCCTTCTGCACTCAGCTGCACATGTACCTACATTTACAAAATACTTTAGAAACCTTTGTAATTAGAAGTGCAGTATACGTATAGGAAGCAACTGATACAACTTTACAGGCAGGACTGGCTCATTGAGCTGGGAGTTAGCAGCGTACCCGTGTCAATGAGTCCAAAATGTTGTACTGCAGGTTTCATTTAACAATCTGGAATTGTTCATAGGCAAACTCACTATCTAAGCTTTCCATACAAAAGTAGGAAAATTAACAAATTTATCCTGCTGGATTATCCTACATAAGAATCTATTGTTGTGGCGCCACAGCACGAAATGCTAACATATCAGAGAAGTAGTATAACTCAGTGAACATAATTTCTGTATTGTTAATTTGCAATGCTTTCTTCATACATTTTTTAATTTAATTCAAAGAAGAGTGACAACATCTGTGTCTTGAATATAATAAATCAAGCATTCATTTTGTCAGTATAAACATCCGAAGTGACAGTTTTATTGGTAAACAATACCAGCATTTTCTGGGATGATTTGGTAATCTCTATGCAATGTAGCACAGAGAAATGTTCATTCATGGGTGGACATACAAACAATTGGAAGATTCAAGAGATGTTCTCCATTTTAGAATGAAAAGCCTTCACGGAACTGCAAAAGGAGTCTTTTCTCCCTACACAAAGGAATTATAATGCTTTAAAAGAAGACTCTGATCCCTCAATGTGACCACAAGTCCCCTTGGAAAATACACTTATTCCTGCTTCAGTAGAAAGACCATCTCTATGTTAATCCACTTATTTTTATAAGAAAAAAAGCAGAAAACTGTTTCTCCAGTGCAGACCACTGCAGACTTTGTGAGTGTACTGCATGGAAGATGCAGCGTTCCACAGGGACAAAAGCACTCATGTTACTAACAGGAAGAGCACTACAGTGAAAGTGTGCCACTTTATTCTGTTCCAGCAGCTCTTCAGAGTTTAAAATTCCTCAGTCTTTGCTGAGAGAAGATCCCCTCATTTCGATGACGTACAGTTCTTTTTGATCACCTGTCTACTAGCTTCCAGAGATCATGAAATGAGGAAGGATAATATTTCCATCTTGATGGTTAAAACAATAGGAGAGAGGGGATTTCCAGGGGTTCCGTGGTAATAATTTATAGCTCTGTAATCTTGTAGTCCCAGGATGCTTATAACCTAAGAATACAAAACTCTGGATGTTCTGCTAAGAACGCAGAATAACATCTTGCTTACCTGAATGTTGTCTTTGCCAAGTACTTGGCATCACAGAGAATCAGGCCTGAAGTAGCTGTGGGATTCGAGAGTTCTCACATACTTCTACATGCTTGGGTTTTCTTCCCTTTTCACATCCTTCTTAGAACTAATGACATGCTCATTTCATGGAGGGGGGGAGGCGTTTTTGTCAGATTCTTGTCTTTCCCTGCAATATGCTGTACACTCACCCAGGGAAGTGGTTGAGTCCCCATCCCTGGAGGTATTTAAAAGACGTGTAGACATGGTGCTTAGGGATGTGGTTTAGTGGTGGACTTGGTTAGGTTTACAATTGGACTCTATGATCTTAAAGGTCTTTTCCAACCTAAATGATTCTATGATTCGATGATTCTATGATAGCTTGCCCAAATACTATAGTTTGACAAATATTGTGCAATTTTATCACGTTTCTATAAGGCAAACTTCACAATGGTGTGGTACTTTATTGAACAGAGGATCCAAACCCATGTGCATACACATAATAAAAGCCTCATGCAGTTTGGGATGGAAATGTCAGTACAACTGCAACATTAATTTTCCTCTATCAGTCCTTGCTAAATTGAGCTGCTACTTAGCTCTTAACAATCTGAATATATGGAAACAGCCAGGAGATGTTATATTTCCTTCTCTTTCTGCTAAAAAATGTTAAACTCTTCAAGGAAACTATTCTCCAGATACAATTAGGAAGTATGAAAACCTGGCTACAGCAGCAGAAGAAACAGTATCACTTTCTAGTATATAATCATATTGACTAGTGTATACCAAATTCATTATCGCAGTTCATGTTACATTGTGAAAGCTAAAAAAGAAATAGTGACTATTCATTCCTTTCATATGAAATTTAAAAAAAAAAAGTAAACCTTTGGTGTTGAAATCTGTTTTTCTTGTTAGGTTATATGTTCAGGTATTTAAATCTTTCATGTTTTCATTAATCGTAGAAAAAAAACCTACAGTGCTAACACCATAGATATACAGATGTTCACATGTTCACCTGTTTCCATCAGCCCATGATTCACAGTATTAACAATTCCAGAATAAGTTGTAAATGGGGTTATGTCACAGAAGAAATGCTATTTTGAAAGCATTACAATTTGGGAGGTATAGAAGACAACACGGTATGAAAACACGTATATACACCTTAAACCTATTAATTCTTGCTCTTAGAAGTAGCATTACTGCAGTAGCTTCGGGGGTCACGTGGATACGTGGATAAATATATGGAGCTACAGGCCTATCTTCAACAATGACAAGAACAATTCCAAATATCAAAAAGAACACCTTAAAATAATTTTCCAGATCTTAATGTCAACCCTCATAATTAGCTCAGTTTATAAAGCATTTTGTGTAATCTCAGGTGAACTGTCACATAAAATACTCAGCATCTTTGAGTAATCTGCTTAAATAAAATACATACATATAATTAGTTTCGCATTGGCTCAGTAAGTCCACAGGGCCCCGCTAAAAATAACACTATAAAGGATACAAAAATATAATCATCCATGTATCGTTTCTTTAGGTTCTCCACTATGGAATCCTCTGTGATTTTGGAAAGAAGGACCATATCATCCACTCCACTGTGCTTGACATTGTGGCTCTGCCAGTGATATCTGTAGTGTCCTTTGCTGCCCTGCAGGAAAGCACAATAAGCATCAAAAAGGTTACTACATTTCTTATTAGCATTAAATAACTGAAAACAATCTATTCAGATTCCAATTTCCAAAATATTTTTCTTACATCGAATTCCATTCCTTGATCCAGACATTATATAAAAGCATACATAAATTATATCAACTGACTTGCCTCTGAACTATTAAAGAATTGCACTGCCCTCAAAAATTAGAAGGTAATTCCATGGGGTTTTGTGAATGTCTACACACAGAAGGGATTTCAGATGGCAGACATTTCTAAATCTAGCAGAAAAAAAACAGTTATTCCAACTGAGATGTAGTTATTGGAAGCTAAGGATGCAAAAATTACACTCCTACAGTGCAGCTATTAGTAGTGAGGATAATTACCACCGGAACTATTAAATTGGCGCCAGTGGATTCTCCATCGTTTACCATCTTTTAAGTCAAACCTGCACATATGCTTTTACTCAATAGAAGCTGTGAGCCTGATGCAGTAAGTATTCAGTGATGTTCTGCCGATTATATTACGCAGCTTGTCGGCTGCATGTCTTAACAGTCCCTTTTGATCTGTTAGTCACCATGCTTAACTGACATCTAAATAGATATTCTCTCCCCACACTTAGAGACTACTATTTCAGGATGCTACTGAAAACTTGTGACATTTCAAGCTGTACCACTTGAAATCAAAATCTGTTTTTTTTCCAGCTGATTTGAACAGTAGTTAGGTTCTGCAGATACACCCACAAATTTAAATCCAGCCTAGATCAATGCTATTAATTCAGCTATAAATCTGCTCTACAAACCCAAACCTATTTTCTGTAGCCTGGCAGATAATGCTAATGAAGTTCTGTCCTCTTGCCTTTTTATACTTTATTTACGCAATACTGAAATTAGTGATGCTAGAATTAACACATTTTACACTGAGAAGTTATCGAGTATGCTGTCAAGGAAGATGTGGCCAACAAAATGGAAATTCTGTGTATTCCCCTCATTTTTTACTACCACAATTTCAAACAATGTGATTTAGCTAGACTTCTCTCATGTATGTTATGGGATCAAGTCATATTCATCAGAATACAAGCAATTTATTATTATAAAGTATTTTGCAGAATAAAATAATGCATCATTTTACAGATTAAATAAGAAAATTTAGGTATTCTGAACACTTTGGCTGTGCTCAAGTATTTTGAAACGGGACATTAGCAATCTACAGAGGTGTGACTTTCGTGTGTACGCACTTCCACGCTGGCAAATGACGTATGCAACTGCACTAACACAAAATCGCATCTGTCGAATTGTTTCCTCCTGTAAGGTCAAGCGCTTGTACCATACCAGGCATAGAACTGGGAACTACAAATGGAGTCAGGGGAGCACAAGGTTCTTATTTTAAGCTGGGTTGGCTATAAGTGTTCATTAAACTAGTCTCAGACTAGGTTTTTCCACAAACTTGACTGCATCTATAAGGGGGAAAACCCAACAAAAAACTAACGCAATGTATATCAGCAAATGGAGTCAGGCCTATAGGTTAGCCTCATCTCAACTGACATAAAAACCAAGGACCAACTGGACTTTTATCTCAAGTTAAATTAACTTGCACTAATACCAGACCCATTTTACTACTGCAGACAGCACAGAACTTGTAGGCTTCAAGTGTGTTTTCTGTTAAGTCTCCAGCCATTGCTACCACTGATGCAGCTCCATCACTGCTAACAACACTGAAGAACAGTTGCAAACTGGAATTAGAAGAATGCTTTTAAATATAGTACAGCAGAGGTATATATGTCTGAAAACACACAATCTCAGCAATTTTCTTAAATATCCACAACCTTACATGAGCTTCATTAAAACAATAATCTTAAACTAGCTTAGTTCGTGTGAACCTTGTCAATTTTATATTTGTACAATGGAAGCAGTGATCTGGAAGCACTGAGAAAACGAAGGAACCAATTCATTTTTGGAAACTGTTATAAAACATGTGACTGAAAAAAATCAGTTGAAGGTTGTGTTATTGAAGAAAACAGAAGTTCAACAGAGAAGCATAATTTCCTTCAGTATTCTCATCAGCTATTTTTGATATTATACTTGGAAAAAGGAACTGGCAGGATGGACAAAAAGGTACAGTATCAAAATAAATACAGAGAATTGCATTTTTCACAAAGCTATACAGAATGTGGTTTAGTATCAGATAACAGAGTAAGCTACAGAAAATGTGTAAGAAATGAGAGTGGGAAAACAATAAAGGTTCCCACTGGAAGCTATGGCATCAGACCCAGTAAATTCAATGAGAAGAGGACAAAGCTCACAAAGCCACAGGATACATGGAAAATGTGCACACAGTTTGCAAAACAGCAGGCTTTATAAAAATCAGTGACTGTTGTTGACTGTGATTAAGCCACACACACTACCGGGCCAAAGGGTTCTTTCCCAAAAAGCAACCCGAATCAGCAGGCAAGCAAGAGGGGCAGCACCAGGCAGGCTCAGCTTGCCCTAAGAGCAGCTCTCCCCAGCGCTTCACACTGCTTTAACATGCAGCTGTAATCAAATCTGAGTGCTGCAGTATCACATACAGTCAAATGGAAAAGGAGGCAGAGAGATTTAATAAAAAGGCAGCAGCCTAAATATCCAAGAACGTAATACCATGGAAGACAGCTGAAAGTGGTAGCACTAAGTAGTTCACGTTAATATTGTATCACATTTGAAATGCAAATTTCTATCAGTAGTTTGGGACTACTCTTTTCCCCTTAAAGCATGGCCTTACATGCAAATATACAGAGAAGCAGCAAATCATCACCAGATTATTGTCAGACTTCTCCCTATGATCTAGAAAAAAGCCCAAGCTTTAGTAGTGCCTAACTGCATCAGTGGTTAAGTTTTGCTCTCACTCGGCCTTCTCCAGAAACCTAGCACCACTAGGATGGCCACGAGCAGTGGCTAGCGCCTCCTTGGTCTGGGTCACAAAACAGGGAGTGCTGTTTCTACAGGACACCACCTACCCCCAAGTTCTTGCTCTTCCAAGCATGAGTGATGACTACAGTGTCTAACCTGAATTTATCAACTTCAGTCACTTCCAACTGGTACTATAACCATATCCAGCTGACAGTTAAGGGTTTTTTGTAGAGTTTTGAAATTAAAAAAAAAATCTTCCTGTTATAAATCATCTGAAAAAACTCTGCATCACAGCAGTTGTGAAAGCAACTCTTCATATATCTCCAGGCTGCGTTTTCCTAAAGGTCAAGGATATATACTTAAAAATTACAAAGCTGTCCAGCTGCCCACATTGCAAACACTAATGATTTGTTCTTATTGCGTATTTCTTGAAAATTTAACCTTTATTTTAGCTAGGGCTTTCTACCATCCACATAAAAATGCAGTACTCTAATCTGGAGACAATTTACACCTGAGCTAATTACCTGGTGTCCACCTTAACTTGAACCTGCTTTGCAGGGAAGACTCAGACTAACTCACTCAGCTGCTCATTGTCCTCTGTTGCCCTTCAAACAACACACTTTCCCCTCCACCCCTCTCCACCTGCCCCAGTGACAAGTCAGGTCTCCTGGGACTGACCAGGAACTTCAGAGCCAGCAGGGTGAGGGCCAGCAGAGATGCCCCACACCCCCATGTCAGCACTAGCCGCAGCAAGGACTTGGCTACTCGAACAGAGCTCCCCTGTGGCATGGCTAGGTCTGGGCAAACAGAGAGGCTCAGAGCTCGCGGTCCACCCCTGGGCCTAGCCATGCAGTTCGGATGTCAGCAAATAGCAGCTTGGCTTCTCTTAGGTTTTCTCAGTGAAAGATGTGATCTAACTGTACAATAAATAAGCAAATGTCTTTGTGTCAGCACTAACAATGCGTAAGCAGCTGAAAAAAGATGAGCTTAGCAGATTAGGAAAAATACAAAAAACCAAACACACATCAACAGCCTGCTAAAAGCCACAGAAGTGGAAACGAGAGTGTTGAACAACCTGGCTGCCAGGCCTCCTTCAGGCTCTCCCAGAGCTTCAGACCCAGCACCTGATGGTGCACAGGGAATGGAGGCTGGGCTGGCGAAGCTGGAACTAAAGGCGTGTACTTCATTGCTGTCAGCTGTTATTATTCATTTGGTTGCTGGTTTAGGCTCAAAATCAGATCTGTTTTGCACTTACAAGAATAATATTTGTGAGTCACAAGATGACCCTGTGAGCTAGGAGCCTACTGCTTCTGAGCTGTACTGCTTCAGGAGCACATCCACAGTTACCACCTGGCTAGAGACCAGGCAGCACTGTCCTCTCCACCTCAATGACTGAAGATAATAATCTTCACCATCAGAACAGTCAAGACTCTAAAGCACCTAAAAAATTAATTCTACTCTCACTTTGTACATCTCCCTTAACACCCACTCGTTAACAGATTAAGACAATTGCTACGTTAATACCAAGGGAGGGGATGTAAAATACTTTTTTTGTACTAAATACTGACTATACTGTCCGTACTACTTTTGGTATGATATGGTTAAAGCATATTATTGGTTTTTTTGGAATGAATAATAAATATTGATGAGACATCTATTTACTGCACTTTTTTTTTTTTTGCTGCTCTCTACCTTGTGTTACAATAGCAACTTTTGCCTTTATTATTGTTTGTATATTTTTACGTTATCCTAAGCAACATGTATTTGATGTGGCTATAAAAAGATTGAGTCATGCTGTGTCACAACAGGGTTTTCTTTTAACTGGAAGAAAAAGCAAATATTTTTGTATTTCAAGCTGTTTAAAAATAGTACGTCTAAAAATAAAGCACTAAAACCAAAGGATCAAAAGAGACTGTATATTCTGCCCAAGAAAGAGCCTTGTTTCTCCCTCTCTATCAGAATTCTGTCTAAACTACAACAACCTACATACCATAAATAATCATTCTTGGTTCCCACAAAGGGCAAAATTGCCATCCTGAATCTCTGACAGCTTTTCTCAGTAGCAAACATCAATCCTCCATCACAGCGCAGAAGGGATTCTCAGCCTCCACAAGGGAGTAAGAATGTCAAATGATCACAAGCAGACCTTTTCTTTCCCTTTTCAGCTATGAGAGTACTATTGCATAAAATCCTTGTAGTTTTGGAGGCATGTGTCTATCTACTCAGATACTTAGTATTACAAATACAATACTAAATGATACACAGCCATCATCTTAAACAAAGATATCACAAAACTGAAAAAGCTGCACACCATTTACTCTACACCTGACATCAATGCTTCTACCAACGGAGGCATATCACTAGTCTCATACATGCATAATTTGCACCAGTTTTTCCATCGAACAAGAAAAGGGGAAGAAAAAAAAAACCAACCCACAACTTTTTGCAATGATATCATCCATCAAAATAGCAAAATTTTATAATCCATTTACAGGAATCTTTCACAGACTTCTATACAGTGAAAGAATCTGCTGTTCTCACTAGAGAATACTGCAGAAATACTTAATGCGAATTTTGGTCCTCGCCTGGGATAATCAAAACTGAGAAGCCATAGTAGACAAAAGTGCTACAAAATAGCTCTTGTATATCTAATGATAGAAAAAAATAGAGATATTGGCTGCAATGATGTGGCCATATTTCAGAAAAAAAAGGAAGAGACAGCAGAAGCAGCTAGATGGACAAAGATAAAAGGCAAATTACTTAAAGTTAACATGATGGACGTATTAAGGGAGACAAAAAGCAGTGCTTTAAGATTTGAGGAAATAGCAAAGCAAAAATATTGAGCATCTAGTAGTAGGACAGACATTTTATACAGAGAACTACAAATACAAAAAAGGTATTAAGGAATGGAAACTACTAGCAAATTAATATCCCCAAAACCACAGCTAGGGAAATAAAATACTGAGAAAAAGATTTCTGGGGGGAAAAGCCATCAGTTCTCACTGTTTGCTCTCAGACAGGGGTGGATTCAGCCCGATGTGACTAGAAAGACTGCCTCCGGAGCTCAGTTGCCCAAACACTTGCTCCCATCAGCTCGTGTGCAGGTGCTGCCTGGCCCCAGCCCGGGGCAGGTCCCCACCATCACCTCCTGCCCTGGGGTCTGCAGCCAGGGAGCAGCCATGGCTCCAACTCCCCGCAGCCAGCGCCAGCCCAGCTGGG